TGCCTCAGCCTCCCAAGTAGCTGGGACCACAGGCGCCCGCCACAACGCCTGGCTATTTTTTGGTTGCAGCCATCGTTATTTGGTGGGCCCAGGCTGGATTCGAACCTGCCACCTTAGGTGTATGTGGCTGGCACCTTAACCACTTGAGCCACAGGCGCCGAGCCGATATAGCAACTTTGGATAAGATATCCTACATACTTTTTGAGGTGGATATAATTTGTTTTATGTATTTTTGTTTATTTGAAAATTTATGTTAAAAGTTTCAAAAAGGCAGGCTTTGTGCCCATAGCACAGTGGTTAAGGCGCCAGCCACATACACCGAGGCTGGCAGGTTCAAACCCAGGCCGGGCCAGCTAAACAACAAAGACAACTGCAGCAAAAAAAATAGCCGGGTATTGGGACAAGCACCTATAGTCCCAGCTTCTTGGGAGGCTGAGGCAAGAGAATCACTTAAGCCCAAGAGTTGAGGGTTGCCGTGAGCTGTAACATCATGGCACTCTACCAAGTACAGTATAAGTCAGACTCTATCTCAAAAAAAAAAAAAAGTGACTATTCACAAAGGTACAAAAATGAATGAAGTCTTTTGGCATCAGACTAGCAGTTCCAAGGAAGTGAGTAGCTCACCCTGACCCTTGGCCTATCCTGTCCTTCAGGAACATAGGTCATTGTGTGGATGGATCAAGGCATCACTGATGCTGATGCCCTATTCAGGAAGCAGTGGCCTTTGAAGACGGAGAAATTCAATGCTGTTGAGGAATTAGGGCTTTGTGTCTGAAAGGCATAGCCTCAATTTTGTAGCCATTTGCACATAAGGAACTCCCATTTCCCATTGATGCTAAGTAAACTCTTCATCATCCAAATGGATAAAGCCATTATTCACATGACAAATGTTTTGAGTACTTACTGTGTGTCAATCAGTTGCAGGCCCTGGGAATACAACTGTAAGGCAGTATGTCATGGCATATCCTCTCTGTGTATTTAAAGTGGGAGGGCAATTCCCCATGTACATACATACCAGAGAAATGTGGAAGGTCAGTGGCCCTGGGAAATATATGTTAAAGAATGCTAGGACCCAACTTCTCGCAAGTCACATAGTGGATCCATACTTTGAACCAAATTCTCTGGCCCCCAATCAGTCCTCCCAATACCTGCTGATACTGGCCAACAAGGCCTTCTAGAAGAGAAAGTTCAAGTCTTGAGCCTTTGGGCAAGTTATTTCCTAGCTCACTGATAATAACTGATAGTCTCTCTTGCGGCCCCCTTCCCCAGGAGAGAGATGAGATTCTCTTTCTCCAGCCCTCATGTCAGAACACAGAAGAGCTGGCAGAGGCAGCACCCATAGCTCAGCGGTTAGGGCGCTCGCCACATATACTAAGGTTGGCAGGTTCAAACCCAGTCTGGGCCAGCTAAAACAACAATGACAGCAACAACAAAAATAATAGCTGGGTATTGTGGCAGGCACCTGCAGTCCCCACTACTCAGGAAAGGCTGAGGCAAGAGAATTGCTTAAGCCCAAGAGTCTGAGGTTGCTGTGAGCTGTGACGCCATGGCTCTTTACCCAGGGCAACAGCTTGAGACTCTGTCTCAGAAAAAAAAAAAGAAAAAAACAAAAAAAGAAGATTGTCAGTAGACACATCTGACTCATAAAAAAGAGATGTCAAAGGAAATTAGGTCCAGCCCCACTATCTACTGATTTGATGGTAGCCACACAAAAGTCCCAAAAGGAGACGGGACAGACAGCTGTTGCTACAAGGAGGCATTACGGCCCCATGCAGAGCTAAGCCTTGCAGCACAAAGTGTGCTTTGCAGTAGGTGTAGTGGGTCCCCCCTAGACAGTAAGCAATTTGATATGTCCTTTGAAGTCCATATGCTACAGAGATAACGGTCCTCAGCTTCAAACTTGGAGAGGGCCTTAAGTGGTGGGAGAGTGTCCCTGGATCACAGACATGAAAGGAAGGCTTGTCCACCCACATAGGGTGGATTCACCTCTTGTCTCCATGCTTGCCTCTGCTGGGCTATGTTGAAGTCCAGGGTTTGGCTAGGCCTGACTTAGAAACTCAGTAGTGGGCTCGGCGCCTATAGCTCAACCGGCTAAGGCGCCAGCCACATACACCTAAGGTGGCGGGTTTGAATCCCCAGCCCGGACCCGCCAAACAACGATGATGGCTGCAACCAAAAAATAGCCGGGTGTTGTGGCTGGCACCTGTGGTCCCAGCTACTTGGGAGGCAGAGGCAGGAGACTCGCTTGAGCCCAGGAGTTGGAGGTTGTTGTGAGCTGTAATGCCATGGCACTCTACCCAGGGGGACAGCTTGAGGCTCTGTCTCAAAAAAAAAAAGAAAAGAAACTCAGTAGTGGATGCCAGGTTTACATCTTGGTCCTAGGCTATGTTGCTGCTTTTCATGAATGGCAGCATGGTCTTTACCCACCCTGAACTCTGAAGAGCTCCCCTTCCACCTGGGGCTTTGCCTGCCCCATGGTGACTGAATCACAGAACCGCCAGGCACCAGAGGTGAATCTCAGGGTTAGGTGAAACACTGGCCCAGCTCTAGCATACCTCTTGGTTATAATCTCTTCCATATGTTCCATTTCTCCTCTGTGACTAGGTGTCTCTCCCAACCTGAGGCCTTCTGGAGCTTCTCTAGCTAGTCAGAGCTTCTCAGAGAGCAGCAGCTTCTATAGAAAGTACCCCCAACTTCTCCATCAGCATTACTCATGTTCCCACTGTCCCCCCACATGTGGCTTCCAGCTCAGAAGCATCTCCACTGGGGCCATGGCCGTGGTCTTGGTGGCAGGTCCTGGCCCTGCCCCCTGAGGGCCCCAGACCCTTGGGCTGGATGTAGAGTGAGTGTCTTTCCTCTGGGCTCCTTGGTGTATGTGTGCATGTGTCAGGAGCCTGGGGCTCTGACTCTCTAGAAATGTCCTGCCTGGCCTGCCTGTGTCCTGCCAGGCCTACCAGGCACCTGATCTCAGACACAGCTCCATATCCCCCACCCATTGCTCACCCTCACCCCAGAGGCATCTCCGACCCCCTATACCTGCTGACAACCCCCAGTCCCTGCAGGCTTCTCCTCCCTCCCCTTATTCATTCTCTTTGCTGCATCCAGAAAGGTCTTAAAACTCTAATCTGGTTAGGTGCTATCCTTTTCTGCCCCTGACTAGATTATGGTCCAGGGATGACATGAGGGGGGACATTCTAACCCACAGCTGTAGATAATGACTCTTGCCACGTGAGTGGCACAGAGACACTTTGGGTCTTCCAGCCTCACCTCCCTAGACCTCTGTGCCTTTTTTATGGGCTCTTTGCCTGGAGTACCTCTTGCTCCCACTTCTCCAGGGAATCCACTCCTAACTTCCTTCCTTGCCTAGCCTTAGGTGCCCCCGTTCCATACTGTTCTCTCACAAAGCACGAGAACTTGAGGTCTCCAGATCGACCTCCCAGCAACCACCAAGGCTCTTGTCAGGCCTTATTTGCTCTGTGAATGACTGTGGTACACAGCAGGAACAGCATTAGGCATATGTGCTTGGGTCCTTGGGTGATCTAAGGATTGTAGTCAGGGTGGTGGATCAGCCTAGGAGCCTTTTAAAGTGTGGACTTTGGGGCACAGTGGTCCCTGAGTTGGATCCTGTTGTTTGAACTGTATTCTTGGCACATGGCTTCAGTATCACCCCAAGGCTTCTGCCTAGTCAGCACTACCCTACAGGTCCTTGCTGGAACACTTTTCCCTTGCCTCTGAGGCTCACTTCACTCATTTTCAAGCTGATTTTACTTGTCACTCTTTAGAAAGGACTGATGCCCTAAGACCCACTCTCTGATTGTGACTGATTCTTTGTCTAATGCTTTGCCTATCACTTGTCTCTACTTCAGTGTGGTATGTGGGGGCCTCAGTGGGGCCAGATCACCTCTGTGCTCCTAACTCTAAATTGCAGCCCATAGGCATGTAGTATCTGACTTTAGAACACCATCCTCTCCTCTGATGTCAAAGAGGGTATCTCTTCTTCCCCAAGCACCTGATAAGCACTATTCCCCTTGCCAGATTAGAAGGAAAGCAAGCCTACCCTCTCAGGCCAACCAGACCACCTTCCCACTTAACTGGACAACCTACGCAAACCCCAAAGCAAGCCAGTAACCAGGTGCCAAATGTCTGCCTGAGAATTAATTCTTTTTTCTTTCTCTTTCAGTGGTTAATATCACAGCAAGTATCCTTTTCTTGTTGGTACCGTTCCCTTTAAGGAATTCTGTGACTAAAAAGAATGTATTAGAAACCTGAACCCCATCTCATCTTGTAGTAATCAGGGAGTTTAGTTTTTGTCCCACAGGCCACCTAGAGAAATCCTCACTCAGCCTGTGGCTGCCCTTCAAGACCAGCAGCTTCTACTGGATGCTGCACTCCTCTGTCTTTCCTTTATACCTCAATGTCCAGCTCCATGTCCCACCCACCCTGCAACAAACTCAGGGTTCACTGTGGGGCAAGAGAACTTGGAATCTCTTTATTATTATTATTATTATTTGCATTGGCCAGGGCTGGGTTTGAACCTACTACCTCTGGCATATGGGGCTAGCGCTCTGCTCCTTTGAGCCACAGGCACCACCCCGAGAACTTGGAATCACTCCGAGAACTTGGAATCTCAAGGCAGTCAGGGACATGCTGCCCTGAATACCTCTTCAGTGTAGGAGCCTCTAACTGTGGCCTTTTAAACTGACCTTTGGCTCGGCGCCTGTGGCTCAAGCAGCTAAGGTGCCAGCCACATACACCTAAGGTGGCGGGTTCAAATCCCCAGCCCAGGCCCGCCAAACAACAATGATGGCTGCAACCAAAAAATGGCCAGGCGTTGTGGCGGGCGCCTGTGGTCCCAGCTACTTGGGAGGCTGAGGCAGGAGACTCGCTTGAGCCCAGGAGTTGGAGGTTGCTGTGAGCGTGATGCCATGGCACTCTACCCAGGGGGATAGCTTGAGGCTCCATCTCAAAAAAATATATATAAAATAAAATAATAAAAAATAAACTGACCTTTGTTTGCAGCATTTTGTACTCCTTAACTGGATGTCACTAGATCCCACAGTTTGAAGATGTTAAATTTGAAGCAGCAAGTTTGTTATCTGAATTATATTGTCAAGAGGTAAGAAAATACTGTTTCTGAAAGCAAAATGTCTCTCCCTGTCACTAGGACATGATGGCAAATTGGGGCTCTCAGGAGTTTAAATCCATTCTGGCTTTTAATACTTTGAATTACTTTCCTTCCTTTCTCTTAACACCCCAACATTGTGGCAATAAATCTTGAACAAGGGCCATCAGATTCTTTTTGTACTTTCTTAGCCGAACAAGTCTAGGCTTGTGGCTTCTATTTTCTTTTTCTTTTTTTTTTTTCGGAGACAGAGTCTTAACTCTTTTCCCATGACATCATAGCTCACAGTAACCTCAAACTCCTGAGCTCAAGTAATCCTCTTCAGTCTCCTGAGTAGCTGGAACTACAGGCACCTACCACCACACCCAGCTAATTTTTCTATTTTTAGTAGAGAGAAGGTGTAAGTCTTGCTCAAACTGGTCTCAAACTTATGAGCTCAAGCGATCTCCCTGCCTTGGCCTCCCAGAGTGCTGGGATTACAGGTATGAGCCGCTGTCCCTATCCAAGTCCTTAGCTTCTTAATCTGGTTTCTGATTTCAGTTGTAGCTGAAATTTGCTTATCTCCAGTTGGAACAATGATACCCTAAGGTAGCCAGGGTGACAAAGAGGTATACTTCACACCCCTGCTGCTACTCTCTGGTCTAAGAACACAATTTAGGAACTGGCATCCAATTTGACTGTTCAGGATTTTGAACTGAAGCTACTTTCAGTTTAGTTGAATGAAAAGTTGTTTTAAGAGCAGCACAAAGGCTCGGCGCCTGTAGCTCAAGTGGTTAAGGTGCCAGCCACATATACCTAAGGTGGCGGGTTCAAATCCAGCTCAGGCTACCAAATAAAAATGACGGCTGCAACCAAAAAATAGCTGGGCGTTGTGGCGCGCGCCTGTGGTCCCAGCTACTTGGGAGGCTGAGGCAGGAGACT